AGACGCGGCGGAGCGGCCGCTCCTGGATGAAGGCGCGGCGGGCTCGGGCAAGGGCCGCTTCCTCGTGCGCATCTGTTTCCAGGGTGACGAGAGCGCCTGCCCGACGCGGGACTTCGTGGTGGGCGCGCTCATCCTGCGCTCCATCGGCATGGAGCCCGACGACATCTACGCCGTCATCCAGATCCCCGGCAGCCGCGAGTTCGACGTGAGCTTCCGATCTGCGGAGAAGCTGGCCCTGTTCCTCCGCGTGTACGAGGAGAAGCGCGAGCTGGAGGACTGTTGGGACAACTTTGTGGTGCTGGGGCGGAGCAAGTCCAGTTTGAAGACGCTCTTCATCCTTTTCCGAAACGAGACCGTGGACGTGGAGGACATCGTGACCTGGCTCAAGCGCCACTGCGACGTGTTGGCCGTACCCGTGAAAGTGACGGACAGGTTTGGGATCTGGACCGGGGAATACAAGTGCGAGATCGAATTACGTCAAGGGGAGGGAGGCGTGTGCCACCTGCCCGGGGCCTTTTTCCTGGGGGCCGAGAGGGGCTACAGTTGGTACAAGGGGCAGCCCAAGACCTGCTTTAAGTGTGGTTCCCGGACCCACATGAGCGGCACCTGCACCCAGGACAAGTGTTTCAGGTGCGGGGAAGAGGGGCACCTGAGCCCGTACTGCCGGAAGGGCATAGTGTGCAACCTCTGTGGCAAGCGAGGACACGCCTTCGCCCAGTGTCCCAAAGCTGTTCACAACTCCGTGGCAGGTCAGCTCACGGGCATGGCCGGTCACTGAACACCCCGCCGCCTGCTTCTCAGCCAGGGTGAACACACAGCCAGCATACCCCTCTTTAAGTGCCAAAAGTTTTTTGAGAACTTTTTTTTTTTATTTTAAACCGGTTTTGGAAGAGAAAGCTTTTGAAAACTTACCAGAGACATTTTGTCTATTGCCTTCTTCGACCAAGTTTACTCCACTTCAACCAGTTCTGGATTGGTGACCCTCACCAGTAAAGGACTGCCCAGCACTGTAGTGAGCAGATGATGTTGCCTCTCCCCTTTTTAAAAAACTTTTTTTTATTTTCGTTTTTATATTTGGGGTTTTTGTACTGTTCGGGGTTTGTTTTTTTTTAATTTTTTTGTTTGTATTTGTACTTTTCACCCCCATCCTCATCCTACCTCACCTTTTCCCTAACTCGTTTTCTTCCCAGATCTCACCCTGTGAGCCGCCTGGTTCAGCTTTCTGCCCCAGTGCCAGGCGCAGGGGCTTACTTCGCACATGGTAGGCACTCCGTCAGTGTTAGTTGAATTGAAAGCATTGTTGGTGTGGCTTCTGTCAAGAGTGTCTACTTTTAGCAGCTCTTCCCTATCCCCTTTTAATTTGCTGCTTCCAGTCTACATGGTCTGAAAATTTGTGAAGCCGACGTTGTTTGAAGTGTATATTATCTGAATCAATAAGCTCTGAGTGTTGGCCAAGGGCCTCTCTTATGGTCTAAAAGTGCGTGGACCCGGACAGCTCTGGTGACTCAGAAGCCGTTTTTCAAAGAATTATGGAATCTAGAATTGTTCCTGCTGGAAAACCCCTTTGAGGCAGTTTACCCCAGTTCCTTGTCTCTTCTCCTCCCCCCCCCCCCAGGTTTTTCCAGCAGATGAAACTGACCCAGAGAGGTTAAATCACTGGGTCAGAGTCTCACAGCTGTCTGGTGCCAGAGCTAGCCCAAAGTAGAGTCCCTGGACCTGAAACCGGTGCTCATCACACTACCTCTCACACTTCACAACAAGTTCCTCAACACTTGCAAGCCCAGGTCTGAGCGCTCCACCATGGTGCACGCACAGCAGAACTTAGAAAGCACCTAAGGGAACAGCAAAGTTTGGCGTGGACTTCTAAATATCCGGAGATCTAAGGACCAAGGAACCAACTCCAGGTGCATTCACTGCTCCCTGAAATACGGCGTGCCTTGTCCTTTAAGAGGCCATCTATCCTCTTTCCCATTCACCGCCACCAGAAAGATGTGGAAGTGCTGCTGAATAGAGAAACTAACAAAGTGAACTAACATCCCACCTTAACCTGTACAGCTCAGAACCCTGGGGGGAGCACCACTACTTCCTGCACAACCTCCACTCCCGGGAGAAGGGTGCTTCACCCCAAAATCAGGAGCGAACTATACTTGGAAAATAGGCCAAGCGAGAGGCCTGGGTCAGCTCTGTTACCAAGTTAAAGTAGAAAAGACAGTACACTGCTTTTCTAGTTTTTCTCTGTTTTTGCTATTTCCCTGTGGCTTAGAATGTAAAATCACTTGTTTTTTAAAGAAAGTTTTGTTTGAATAAATATTTATCTTTTGTATTGCAAGTGCAGTGCTTTATTTTCTTTCAAAGTGTTAAATGAACTGTTATCCAGTGCTTTAGTTCCTTGCAAATCCCTACAGTCTATTTGTTTGCCCTGCAAATAACCTTTCCACCCTGCAGGCAGCACTTAGCACCTACTGTGTTGTGTGCTACGCTCTCTGGAGTTGTTACCTAAGCTCTGCATTAGTAACTTAGCTCACCCTTAAAAGTACTTGGTTCTCTCCCACTAGCTGGCCTGGAACTCCAGGTGATTGTGCCTCAACACCCTGGATGCTGGGATTATAGGCGTGTACCACCACTCAACATAGGCCAAACCAGGCTAAGTTTGGACCAGTGTTCTGCAGAGCCTGACAACCCTTTGAAGGACCTCCTGATCCTAAGAGATTCCAATAAAAGGACAGGCATTGGCTATGGTGGTAGCCTACCTGCGTAGCAAGCCTAAACTGAGTTCCAGCCCTAGTATCCACAGAAAGTAAATAAATCCGGGTTAAGACTTAATTCCAGTTTAAGTCCTTCTAGTGTCCCCGAGTACCAGACCCAAGTCTCCTGGGTTCCTCCCATCCTCCCAGCAGATTCCCTCCCTCTGGTAGGGCTGGAGGCCAGCAGCCTGCTGGGAGAAAGCCTGCTTTCACTGTGTTCCCTACCCCCTTCCTCCTAGTGGGCAACTTGCCAACACACTTGGTGGAAGAAACCTTCCCTCTCCTGCTCCTCCCCCACCCAGGGAGCAGCCAAGGAAAAAATGTTCCCCTGCCCATCCCCCCACAGAGGCCCCCTGCTTGGCTGTGGAAGGACTGAGCCCAGGCTGGAGCAAAACACCTCCCCCAGTTTCCTCTTTGAATCGGCAGCCCCCAAGTTACAATTCCTCACTGTGGATGGACTCCAGGAGAATGTGCAGAGGTCTGGACAGGCTGGCTGATAAATTCTTAAACTACAAATCTGGAGGCAAGGGGAGCCAGACCCATGCAAGGTACTTTGTTTATCTGCCATGAACAAGAGTGCACCTGTAGTGGGAGGTAGGTAAGAAAGGCAATTCTGCAGTACCAAAATAGAATTGTTTTGAGAGAAAACCAGTATAGAATGCCTGAAACAAAGCTTTCTCTAGAGATGTGGGCAGAAACCAACATGAGGAAGAGCCAGGGGAAGAGCTATGGAGAGAGTACACCCTGTTCTGTCTCTCCAAGGTCACAGATAGGGAAGAGAAGGCCAAAAAGAGATGATACAGGGCTCATCAGCCATATATAAGAATGATGCCTGGGTTTGTAACTTAAGCCTAGGTTTGTAATTTATGCCTGTAATCCTAGCTACTCAGAAGGCTGAGATCTGAGGATGGAGATTCAAAGCCAGCTGGGGCCAGTTACTCTTAATCTCCAGTTAACCACAAAAAGCAGCAAATGGAGCTGTAACTCAAATGGTAGAGCCCTAGCCTTGAGCACACCCAAGCTCAAGGACAAGGACCATGCTCAGGCCCAGAGTCAAGCTCCAGGACCAGCAGAAAAAAAAAAAAAAGAATGGCTGCTTTCTAGGCAGGCCTTTCTACTCCTTTTATTGTTGTTGGTTGTGGACTTGAACCCAAGGCCTGAACACTGTCCCTGAGCTATTGAGCGCAAGTCTAGTGTTTTACGACTTTGAGCCACAGCTCCATTTCCAGTTTTCTAATGGTTAATTGGAGATAGTCTCACTGATTTTCCTGCCAGGCTGGCTTTGAACCATGATCCTCAGATCTCAGCCTCCTGAGTAGCTAAGATTAGAGTTTGGAGACATCAGCAGCATCCTGATCCACTCCCATTTTTAACATGTTTCACGTTTGGTAAGTAAGTATCCATTCTCATGTAGGTTCTTTACAAGTAACAATACAACTATGAAGACTGGGTATGGTGGTTCATACCTATAATTCAATTTACTCTCAGAGTTGAGACTAGGATGATCAAGGTTCTAGGCTAGCTGGTTTTAGGGCAAAATGTTTACTAGATTCCATCTCAAAAGAAAAATCTGGGCCTAGTGGTATGTGCCAGTCAACAAGTGTAAATAGAGTTGGGTGAAAGTGGCTCATGACTGCAATCCTAGCTACTCAGGAGGCTGAGATCTGAGAATCACCTCTAAAAGCCAGCCAGGCATGAAGGCTGTGAGACTCTTACCTCCAATTAGCCACCAGAAAACCAGAAGCAGCACTATGGCTCAAAATGGTAGAGCACTAGCCTTGAGCAAAATAGTTCAGGGACATTGCCTACAGAGTTGAAGCCCCACAACCAATAAGGACAACAAAAAAAGACTCAGGAGTTAAAGCAATGACAGCTGATAAGTGACAGAGCCCTCCTGATTTGAAGCCAGGGAGGAAGTATTTGTTTTGTTTTTGTGCACTTCCTGGTGCTTGAACTCAGTGCTGTCCCTGAGGGTTTTTTTTTTGGGGGGATGGGGGAGGGAGGGCTCAAGACTAGCACTCCACCTACTTGAGCCACAGCTCCACTTCCAAATGTTTTGTGGCTAATGGGAGATAAGTCTCAACAGGCTTTTCTGCCTGGGCTGGCTTTGAACTTCATTCCTCCTATCTCAGCCTGAGTATCTAGAATTACAGGCCTTGGGCCACCTGCATCTAAAAAGGAGTTTTATTGAGTCTCCTAAATAATACCTGGAGAGACAAAAGGAACCACTGTCGGTCCTGCCTTATTGCAGTGCTGGCAACCCCTCCTCCTCCAAGCCCCCACATCCGAGGCAGTCATTGATCCTGGGGTTAATTGGATTTCTAACCCCCAAAGGGCAGGCCCTAGGTCTCAAGTTCTCCTCATCACCCATCCTTCCTCCCTCCCTTCTTTCATCCCGTTCTCCTTTCTTCATTTATTTCTCACAAAGTCCTGACTCCTACGCTATGCTAGGCTTTGTGTTCCAATGTTACCAGTGGAGAGGTGAGGGGAAGATGGAATTCTATTTTTCTCTCCTTTCACAGGCCTTTCATTTTGGCTGACTTATTTTTTTAAAGTGAACCTGCGACCCAGTTCGTCAAACCCAGTTCAAATGTAGCAATGTTGCATTGATTTGGTCCAGGGAAGGCCATGTTCCCTTAATTCCCAGCCCCCAGCCTTCTTCCACCAGCTCGCAAACCCAGGCCGCCCTGCCCCCTCTGGAAGGAGGAGTTGGGGTGAGCGCGGAAATCTGAGCGGCTCTTTCAAGCTTCGGTTGCCATGGAAACCGACTTCGCTGGCCTGGCTCTCCATCACACCATCCTCCAGCGACACAACCAATAGGCTTCCAAGCTCCAACTCGGTGCTCCCTGGTAGTTAACCAATCGGCAAGTCTTTAAGCTTAGAGCCCCGCCCCCAGCCAAGGGACTCCACCAATGAGCTTCGACACTACCCTCCATCTATCTTCAATGTAGCAACAAGAGTCGATTTTTCTTTTTCTTTCTTTCTTTCTTTCTTTCTTTCTTTCTTTCTTTCTTTCTCTTTCTTTTTCTTTCTTTCTTGCTTTCTTTTTGTCTTTCTTTTTCTTTCTTTCCTTTTCTTCCTTCTTCCTCTTTCTTTCTTCCTTCCTTCCTTTCTTTCTCTAAATTAGAATGAACTAGCAGCAACGCCTCTATTACTTTCAGCCTACGTAATCTTGGCAAAACTGCCTAGCATCTAGGGCTCATACCAATAAACCTAACTTCTCAGGAAGCTGAGATCCTAGAATCTCAGTTCGAAGCCAGCTCAGGCAGGAGTCTGAGACTCTTATCTCAAATTAACCCCCCCTCAAAAAAAGACCCCACAAAAGTGGTGCTGTGGCTCAAGCAAAAAATCTCAGGGACATCACCCAGGCCCTGAATTCAAGTTCCAGGACCAGCACAAAACCTTATGCCATCTGAAAAACAAACTTTTTTAAACTGTTTTTAGATTTCAAAAAATTTGCACATACAAAGTTCTTGTATACCTTACCCATCCTGTTTTAACATCATGCTTTATTACCATATATTCACTGTTATTAATAGATCAGTAATACTATGTTGTGAATATCATCCAGTATCCAGCATGAATTTAGTTGTCTCCTTAGGTTGCTTTTGGCTGTGGCAGTTTCTCAAACATCAGGTCTTTCCAAGATAAAGTGACTCTTTCGCCCCTGTACTCTTTAGAAGGAAATTACTACACTTAGCCCATATTTAATGGAAAGTAACACTCCTCCATTTCCTTAAGTGGAAGCTATATAATTACTTGGAATTTTTATGCACTGAAGATTTCTCTTCCTTTATTACATAATTTATGCCAGTATGGAAACATGGATAATTATTTCATTTTCTAAGTTATTATGCAGCACTACTTAATTTTATTAATTGTTCAGATTGTTCTAGCTCTGGCCTTTGGGAACTTTCAGTTGGCTCCTGAGTCCTTTTGACATGCCCCCCAGCTTAGTGGGGTTTTTCTCATTATCAAGCACCTCCTTATTTTCTGGCACTGTAAGGTGTTCCAGGAAGAGCCTTTTTAATTTTTTTTAATTTTTATTTTGTCAGTCATGGATCTTGAACTCTTGGCCTGGCGATGTCCCTGATTCAGCTCAAGGCTAGTGCTCTACCACTTGAGCCACAGCGTCACTTCCAGTTTTCTGAGTGGTTTATCAGAGATAAGTCCCACAGACTTTCCTGCCCTGGCTGGCTTTTACCCATGATTCTCAGATCTCAGCCTCCTGAGTAGCTAGGATTACAGGTGTGAGCCACCATGCCCAGCTCCCTGAGCTTCTTTTGCACAAGGCCTGAGCTCTACCACTTGAGCCATAACACCACTTCTGGCCTTTTTTTTTTTTTTTTAATGAAAATACCATACATCTTCTGGCTTGTTTTTATTGGACATAAGAGTCTCATGGACTTTCCTGCCTAGGTTGACTTTGAACCACGATGCTCAGGTCTCAGCCTCCTGAGTAAGTAGGATTACAGGCGTGAGTCACCAGTGCCTAGCTAATGCTGAACACCATTTTAAGTGCTGCTCAGCCACACATAAAGTCTGAGGTGTGGCTCAGTGGTAAAGCACATACGTGGCCCAGGATTCCATCCTCAGAATGAACCACACAATAAACTGCCTGTGTTTTCATTCTGAACATCTCTGAGGAGCACACTGCTCACAGATGGGTTTTGGAGCTAGACACAAATGGGATGTAACTAGAACATTCTGGCCCATACCTGAGCAGGCTTTTCCTTCCTTCACTGAATTGATTAAGAACTACTATGTCAAGTGCTTGAGATTCAGTGGTAAGGGCAGAAACTAGGTAAAATCCTCTGACCTCTGGGAACTTCTGAGCCACAGAACTGAAAGAGACAACAGACACTACAGAGTGCTGGCAGTGCTGTATCAAGTGGGCTCTGCAGGCCATGGGGGATATAGTGTTAGCAGAGAACTTAGAGACTAATAAAACAGATCAAAAGTCACTCTGCTTATTATTGCCACCATGTGACAATTCTACACCAGTTCAGTGATAAAAAATACTCCTCCCCAAAGCTGTTGTCCTGGTTTGACTTTCAATATTGTCTTTGTAAATTTTAAATCAGCACTTTAATTGCTTATACACTAATACACATTTGATCGACAAAGATCCTCAATTCCACGCATCCCCACTTTCACAGTCAGCTTCAACCCCAGGGGTTAGGATCATCCCTATGTGTTAGTAAAGCTGGGTTTTTGTTTTGGTTTGGTTCTGCTCATACTGAGGCATTCTTGTCATCTTTGCTCAAGTTTGGTACTCTGCCCCTTGGACCTTACTACCACTTCCAACTTTTTGATGGTTAATTAGAGATAAGAGTTTCACAGACTTTCCAGCCTACATTGCTTTGACCTAGAATCCTCAGATCTCAGCCTCCTGAGTAGCTAGGACTACAGTGGTGAGCCACTAGTGCCCTAGTATTTTTTAAATTTTATTTTATTATGCTGATCCTGTGGCTTGAACCCAGGACCTGGGTACTCCCTGGGTTTTTTTGCTCAAGGGTGTCACTTTATCATTTGAGCCACAGCTCCGCTTCCAGGTTTTTTTGCTTGCTTTTTCTTTTTTTTCTTTTTTTTTT